GGTGACCTGTCCANCTTCATGTTCAGTATTCTTCAATAAGTCCTGAGTGAAATGGTCAGTGTCCACCAGGTCTACTGTGAGTTACAGACTAAAAACTAACTAAGGCTGCGCAGCTGATACTTTTTTCCAAATAATTAAAAAAAAACAAAAAAAACAAAACAAACGAAAAACAAACATAAAAGTTTTACACAAATCTGCCACAAAATTAAAACTACTGACAGGTAAATTAATTATCTGTTTACAGTGGCTTCTTTCAGTAGGTTGGATATATAGGGAAGCAAGTGAACTTTCAGTTCTTGAAGTTGATGTGTTGGAAGCAGGAAAAATGGGCACCCTATTGTTTAATGAAGAAAATAATTGACTAATTAAGTTTTGTTTTAGGGGCTGCAAGGTGGATCAGTGCTTAGCACCGTTGCCTCGCAGCTAGAAGGTCGCCAGTTCGCGTCCCGGTGAGGACGCCCAGGATCTTGCAGGAGTTTACATGTTCTCCCCGTGCAGCGTGGGCTCTCTCCGGGTTCTCCGGCTTTCTCCCACAAGGTCCAAAAACATGTTGAGGTTAATTGGTGATTCTAAATTGTCCGTAGTCGTGAATGTGAGTGTGCTTGGTTGTCTGTCTCTAAGTGTAGCCCTGTGATAGACTGGTGACCTGTCCAGGGTGTCCCCTACCTTCACCCTAAGCCAGCTGGGATAGGCTCCAGCCCCCCACGACCCTAGTGAGGATTAAGCGGTGTGTAGATAATGGATGGATGGATTTGACAATTTTTTCCAACAGCCTTTAGTCATGGAAAATGAGAACTGTGAAGGATTTTTTTTTTTTTTCCTATCAAGTTAAAAAAAAGATGCAGCATGATATATCTGATTTCATTTACCTTCAGCATTGCAGTGTTAATGCTGAAAAAGAATAATGTGCAGCCTTAGCCATTCATCCATTATCTATTTACTGCTTAATCCTCACTAGGGGGGCTAGAGTCTATCTTAACTGACTCAGGGCAAAGGCAGGGGACACCCTGGACAGGTCATCAGTCTATCGCAGGGCCACACTTAGAGACAGACAACCAAGCACACTCACATTCACACCTACGGACAATTTAGAATCACCAATTAACCTCAACATGTTTTTGAACTGTGTGGGAGGAAGCCGGAGAACCCGGAGAGAACCCACGCTGCACGGGGAGAACATGTAAACTCCACGCAGAAAGATCACGGGTGTCCTAATCGGGATGCAAACTGGAGATCTTCTAGCTGCGAGGCAACGGTGCTAACCACAGAGCCACCTTGCAGCCCAAACCTTAGTCAGTGTTTCTAAAATTCTGTTAATTTTTAATTCCTGGCTTACCAAGAAGTATTTCTCTTGGTATATTTTCTCGATTAACGGGTGTTTATTTTCTTTACTCAAATTAATGTTTTTGGTTCTTAATGACAGAAGAACCAAAGTCTGTCTCTTCTCCAGTCTTTGTTCTGACTAACAGTTGTTCACCTCATCAGGATCTGTCTCGCTGTAAGAAGGTGATGGAGGAGAGAGGAGAACTATTTCTAGAGAAGATTTCCATGTCCAGAGCAAAGGTTGCAAAGCTCTGTCACACATTCATCAAAGATGGCGCTGTAAGTGTACACTGCATCTCATTTCTTGCTCCTTTCATGCAGTTGGCTCAGTGACTTATTTTCCCTCTCGGTCAGAAAATCCTGACTCACTCGTATTCCAGAGTCGTCCTCAGAGTTCTGGAAAAAGCCGCCGCTGAGAAGAAACGCTTCTCTGTGTATGTGACTGAATCGCAGCCTGACGCAGCTGGGTGAGTGTCTCTAAACTGCATTCTGCTTTTATTCTAAGGGATAAACACTTACTCAGTTTGTTTCTTCTGTATTCAGGCAACAGATGGCCGAAGCGCTGAGGAAACTCAATGTTCCAGTAACAGTCGTCCTGGATGCAGCTGTGGGGTAAATATAGTTGTTATCACAATTTTATTTTAACACTTTGAACTCCAAAACCCACCAGAGGGTTTAAAGGCAAGTTATACTGCACAGAGAACATTTGAGTTCTCTTTGCCTCTAGACATGATTGTGCCATTCCCATAGAGGTGGCAGATTTTATATCGTAATAAAAAAATGAGCCCACAGTGAGGAAAAACATCCAGAAACTACTTAGAGTTCAGTGTGCCAAGTGTCACACTTGTCTTTGGTGATAAACTAGTATATAGTGGTTTTTGCTATGGGTATGTGACACGCCAGGTAAGCACTGGTCTTCTGATGGCACCAAGTCCACGAACAAACTTTATGATGAGAACTGTTGGTTATAGAGGGGTCTCAGTTTGGAACATGCTCCCTACCAGTTTTAGACAGAATATTTATAGGTATTCCTTTAAGAAGTCACTAAAACTCAAACTGATGAACCACATGTAAATTTGGTTATGGCAGATGTGGAACTTTTTTTTTTTTAATGAATTTTGTTTTCTTTACTCGGTGCTGTGAGTCTGTGACCATTTTTGATTTCTTTAAAAACTTTTCTTGTCTTAACTTTGGGTAGATATAAATCAGGGATCTCCAACTCTGGTCCTCATGAGCTACCATCCTGTAGGTTTTAGACGTTTCCATACTGCAACACACCTGACTCAAATTAATGGATCTCTACCAGCTTGTTGTCAAGTTCTACACAAGTCTGTTAATGATCCATTAATTTGAGTCAGGTCGGAAACGTCTAAAACCTACAGGACGGTAGCTCACGAGGACCAGAGTTGGAGATCTCTGATATAAATTATGTTGTCTCACTGATATTCTGTGACTTTAATTTGATGTATTTTTAATGTTGTTTTGTGAATGGACCCCAGGCAGACTAGCAGCCACCTTGTGGAACCTAATGGGGATCAAAATAAATAAGTAGGAATCTGGATTAATTTAATATTTTTTATCAATTGTTTCAGGTATGTCTTGGAGAAAGTGGACCTAGTTATTGTTGGTGCAGAGGGAGTTGTGGAGAGTGGAGGGATCATCAACAAGGTGAGCAAGTCTCACTGCACCACTCTGGCATTCTGCTTTTGGGTAAAAAATGCTTTGGCATGTTTGTATGTCTGAAAGTGAACTCTTCAAACCATTCACAGCCATTGCGGGCGGGGCTAAGCAAAGGACGTGACTCCAGAGCTCCCTCAAAATAGTGAAAGGTGGAATTGTTGTGGCGGAACATTAGCATGCAGGGAGACGAGCACTGTGATTAAAATGGATAATCCACCACGAAAAACTATCTTTACTGCACAATCCACATCCTCAACAAAACTTGACATTTTCAGCGTGGTAGGTTGCTGCCTGGAGGTTGTTGTTGTGTCCCATAGCGAAGAAAATGGTAACACACAGATAGCAACAGGGGAGACTTCCCACTGAAATCATCAGTGCCTTATACCTGCATCCTTTATCTGGTGAGTCAGACTGGGTCAACTTCCCAAGGAGGAAACACTTGATGCAGAGCTGGGTATTGATTTGCTAAAAAGGCAAAATTTCAGTCACTTCTGGCGTCATCGGTCACATGTAAGTGCTGTTACTGCCTGATATAGCTGTGTAAAAAATATAGTTTATATTTTACTCAGTAATATATACCCTTTGTGCTGTTGCTGTAACAGAATTTACCTGCACAGCTTCATCTCATATTAACTCCTTCATTCAGTTTTGTGTCTGCTAATAAACCTGCTGCAATTCCATTCAGGCCACAAACCTTAATAGAATCAGATGCTTGGTTTACATCAGAGGGCTGGACTATGAAGCATGTTTGACAAAATCAGGCTTTCTTTGTGTCAGCTGACTCAAAATAACCTAAAACCCCAGTCACAGATATGGAGTATCACCACGGTGGTCATCAACCGTCTTATCACGACTTTCTTCCTCATGACCCACTAAACTTGCTTTGTGATACAGATCTCAGTTATAAGATACATGTGATGTTGCTGGTGATACAAGAGATCTCACTGTGCTTTTGTTCTTGCAGATCGGCACTTATCAGATGGCCTTGTGCTCTAAAGCTCATAACAAGCCCTTCTACGTCGTGGCTGAGAGCTTCAAATTCGTACGCCTGTATCCACTCAACCAACAGGACGTGCCGGATAAATTTAAGGTATGACTTTGTACCACAGACTGAATATAAAAGTAGGGCGACAACCACCATTGCTTCCATTGCCAGTTATTTTCTTGCCTAATAAGTTGTTGGGTCTATAAAATGTCAGAAACCCAAAGATGCTCAGTTTACTGTCATAAAGGAGGAAAGAAACCAGAAAATATACACATTTGAGAGGCTGGAATCTGACAATTTACGATTGTCGAAATAGTTGGTGATTATTTAATTTGCTAATCAGTCAATTGCTGCAGCTATTAAATAATGGATGGTTTGTAAACTGCAGTTTTGAAACCACATGTAGTCTCAGAACTCTTTGATTGCATCTCAAACAGTAGTGAAAAAAAAAACCCTGCTTTATTGTCTATTTTCCTCTGAATGGGGCCATAATTTACAAAATGAACATCGTGTTGTATTGACGGAGACTTGAAACAAGTGATTGAGACTACAAACATGTTAGGAAAAGGTTTACTGAGGTAACAAATGAAGTGAGAATTAGGGTTATTTTCTCATAGACTTCTGTACAATTGGACTTCTTTTTGCAGCCAGATCAGTCGCCCCCTGCTGTCTGTAAGAAGGAATACAGGTTTAAGGCTTTACTTTTCAGAGCTGGAGGCTACATCTATCTTTTAAATGTAGTCTATGCTTTACATTTCGTTTTTTTCTCCTAGTAGAATTCATCTTAAATGTCTTGTCTTTGCCTCCACAGTACAAAGCAGACACCCTGAAGACGGTACAGAACCTTTCAGAGGAGCATCCGATGATCGATTACACCCCTCCCTCCCTCATCACCCTCCTCTTCACCGACCTGGGAGTCCTCACTCCCTCTGCCGTCAGCGATGAACTCATCAAACTTTATTTATAACTGTGCTTCACATCTTCCAATAAAAACCCTTTTCAAAAGGTAAACGAAGGTCAAGAGTTTTAAGTGGCCTCCACTTGAATGCAGCTGCTTTGTCCTCGTTCGTCTGATTTGTGTTTTGACTTTGGTCCACTGGTTATCTGTGTCTCAAAGTCCTCCTCGCTGATTTGACCTTTCTTTAGTTTCTTGAGGAGGCGGGTGTCATTTAAAAGCTCTTTCATGTCTTCATCTTCAACATCAGAGCCCTGCAGAAATAGAAGTTAAAAGGAGCCATGAAAACTAGAAATCTAGTTGTCTGATGTATTTATCAACAGCAGTTAATGAAAATACCTCGCCGCGCTTCCTCTTGGCGTCCTTCTTTTTCCTGCGTTCCTTTTTGGTCTTCTGTTTGGACCAGGCTTTGTTTTTTTCAAACTTCCTCTTGGGAAGTATCACCTTGTCTTTGAGCTCAGCCAGCATCTTCTGCCTCTGCTTCTCCCGGTTCTTGTCCTTGTAGCGGATGGTGTCTGTGTCCACTGTCTCCTTGGTGAACTGAGGAAATGTTTTCCCCCTCAGTTCTGGCATCTTTGGCATGCGAAGGAGCGCAAAGCCACGGGCCAAAGAGGCAAAGTCCAGATCTACCCGAAGAAAATGTGGCAGAAAATGTTAGATTCGTCTTTAACCGTCTGCACACCAAAAGCTGCCGGCAAGTTTGGGAGACATGTTGTTAAAGAATTGCTGAAAATACACTATTTATTCGTGCTACAAAAACAGAGGGAATCGTCAGATTTTATACTTTCCACTGGTCCTTTAACTACTCATCTCTGATGTGTGACTCTATCAGGAACAAATCTATGCTTAAAACTCTGCTATTTTATCAAAATCACTTTATTCTACAAGTTTCATTTAAAAAATGTGCAAAAAACAAAAACTTTTCACCAGATTCTGAAAAAAAAAAAAAAACTAATTGTTAAAAAGCTAGTTTTTACATTTTAGCTTGATTTACCAAATACTTTCAGATATTTAAGTCTTTTTTTATTGCCAATCACTCACTTTCAGCACATTTTTTCTGCACATTTAAGTTTGAGGTTGTGGAAAAATGAGCCAACAGTAATGGAAAATGTGACGGGAGCAAAAAAAAAGTCAGACAAACTGCTTGAAGTTCAAAGGCTTAAATTCCTTTTTTACCTTTGACCCTGAAGATGAGGCTGCATTCGTGTTTGGCGTAGGCCTGGACATACGAGACAAAGGCCCTCATGCCTCTGTCAAACATGGCGCGGTCCGCCAGAGCCATGGCCTTCACTTTGGGCAGCACGTCCACAACATCGCTGACCGGGTTCATCTGCTGCAGCGGGCACTGAAAGAGATGTGGTTACACATTTATTTTACATTTTCCATCAACTCCAACTAATTTCCATTAAATTTTCATCACAATTTCCAAAAAATGTGCTGCAAATTACAAAAATATTATAAAGATAATCTTGCAATTTGATGCTTATGATAAGGAAAAACAAGACCCAGCTGCAACAATTATGTTAGTTTTTAAGGAGCGTAGTAGGAAACATGTATTACAAAAGGAACAAATAGAAACATAAATTCTGCAGACATGGATCTGCAAGATAATCTGTAAATATCAAATAATTGACATTTATGTTAAATATTGGTTGAATTGCATCTAAATTCCTTTATTTTGTGTTTCAAGTTGAAAAAATTATCAACAAATCAAACTCCACGCTGTTAAATATCACTGACTCAGCAGTTATACGACAAACATATTTCTACATGGTGTCCTCAGAGTGAACTTGTAAAATAAATGCTTTTCATTTGCCTGCCAAACAACTGACCAACTTCTTTTGTAAAAACAAATGAGTAACAACAGAAGTGATGGATTCCACCGTTTCCAGTGGACTCACCTTCTGGTTGATGGACAAGAAGTTGACGTAGGATTCCTCCATTGGCAGCAGGAAGACGAGGGCGTTACCGTAGTTACCGATACGTGCTGTTCGTCCACATCGATGTACAAAGGCGCTAAGACACACAGAAGAAGTAAACATGGGCAAAAAGGATAAAACACAACGAAACATGTTTGTATTCTCCTAATTAAGGTTTCCCACTCAAAGTAGAACAATACAAATGTGTTCTAACAAATTTTTAGTATGAGTCTGTTCTCTGAAAGAAAGAAATCCCTTTTTAAGAAATGAAACAATGTATTTGTGACCTCTTTTTATAGGGATTGTTTAAATAAATGAAAAAATGTCGCTTGATTTCAAGCATGCTTTTTTTTAAGTCGTAAAATTACACTGAGCTGCTAGAAACTGTAAAAACAGAAAAATCATTAGACTTTCACCTTTAAATGGCTCTTGAGCTACTCATCTGTGACATGTGCTTCCATCAGGAAAAACAACCAAATCTAAGCTTAAAATTGTGATATTTAAAAATAAATGAGTTCTCTATTCTTCTAGTCACAGTCCTGATGTTTCCACAGCATTGCAGGACTTAATTATACAGTAAAAAATTAGACCACAGTGAGGAAAAACGTGACGGGAGCAACAAACGCCCAGAAACTGTCTGGAGTTCAGAGGGTTAATTATGAAAACTGTTTGTACTCTAATTTGACCTTTCACACTCGGTTTCCTCACCTGGCGCTGCTGGGAGGATCGTACTGCAGCACCCAGTTAACATCAGGGATATCAATGCCTCTGGCCATTACGTCTGTACACACCAAGATCCCACTGCAACATGACAACAAAAGAGATGTAAACAACTAAGCTAGATAAACTGCACCATGAAAGAAAAAAAATGATTGGCACCTTTTCAGGGTCCTAAAGTCAGCAAAGATGCTGTTGCGCTTGTTTTTCATCTTGCCGTGGATGCAGTGGACGGTGACCTTCTTGACCAGCACCTCCAGAGCTCGGCCGTAGTACTCCACACATGCACAGGTGCTGATGGTTGGATTTAAAAAAGAAAAAGTCAAGTGACCTGACCTCATTTATTGCTGACCATTATTAGTTGAGTAAAAACTGTCTACATGACACCTTTCATGGTTTTGACTCTTACTATTAGCATGTTTTACTTCAGGGTAGAAGCTGCATGTTTTAGTAAGTGCAGACAGGTAGATTAAAACATGGAATATGACTTCATAAAGTTTCTGCCACATACCTAAAGAACACCAGGTGCTTCTCGTGCTTGTGTTGCCTCAGAAAAGCCACCAGGTTGTTGAACTTGTCCTCTGATCTGCAAATCTGAAATGACAACATGAGAATGTTCACGTCTCTTCTACACCTTAATTTTGAGCTGACCGACCCTACGTCACTGCCACACTCACAGTGTAGTAGTTGGAGAGCCTGGAGGGCGTCTTCTGAGCAGCAGCGGTAGCAGCCAAGCCTTTCTCTTTGACAGTGATGCGTACGGGGTTCCTGAGGCCAGCCCTCACCAGCTTCTCCAGCTCCTGAGTCTGGGTGGCTGAAAACAGGCCTGTACGCCTCTGTTTGGGCAGGTAGCTCAGGATGGTGTTCAGACTGGACACACAAACGCTCCGTTAGTGGTAATACGACTTAAATACACTTCAGACTGGAAGCGTTTGGACAGCTGCATACATTTTGTACTTTAAGCACATTTAGTTTGAAACACAGAGCCAGAAAAACAAAAACAACAATAATACAGAAATATTCATGTGTACTCTGTACCTGGCCTCAAAGCCCATGTCGAGCAATCTGTCAGCCTCGTCCAGAACCAGCACATCCAGACTCTTTACTGAGCTGGCCAAGTCCAGCCCATCAGACTTCCTCCTGAACATGTCCTCCAAACGGCCTGGCGTGGCAATCACAATGTTTGCCCTGAAAAACAAAGACACACAAACGTAAGTCGGCAAGAAAGACAATCATTCTGTCAGTTTTTTCTTTTATTACCGATTTGACCAATGGGATAGCAGACTTTGGTTAAACAGCAAAAGGTGGTGAATCATACAGTTTGTGTGCATGTTTACTTCAGAGCACATGAGCAAATTCCAGATATTGTGGATAACAAGTGAGAGCAAGTCTGTTATCTGCACGTTTTTCCCTTTTAAATAACAAACGCCTATTGATTGAAGGTTCTAGTGTTTTCTGGTATCCAACAAGAAACTACTTTTCCATCCAAAACTGACTTATTGTTAATCTAGTTTCGATTATTTTACTGTTTTTTAAATCCATTTCATGTATTACCTTTTTGGTTTATTTCTTTACTTATTGTTCAGTGTCATTACCAGCTTTTCAGCTGCTAGGAAGCAGTTTTAACTAAACTAAGTTGTTTGAAAAGTGCTACACAAACACGTTTGACTGACATACCCCTGATTCTTGAACTTCTCCACATCTTCTATTGGGTTGCTGCCACCAATCAGTAAAATCTGCCTGAAACACAAAAAGCAGAAAAACAATAATAATAATTTTTAAAAATTTATTTAAAACATGTAATTAACATTTCCTGCAGTGACCTTCTACTTACGTAAACTGTGGAAATTTCTGAATGAACTGCTCCATCACTTCACTGATCTGGAGGGCCAGTTCTCTGGTGGGAGTGACCACCAAGGCACCAACCTGCAGAGAGTAATATAAAACATGTTTTCTGGGCTTTGTATTTATAAGGCTTTATCATCAAGCTTTGAATTTCCCGACTCTACGTCTTGGATAGCAACACTCCCAGCATCCAGGAACAGGCAGTCATCCTCACCTGCATCTTCTTTAGCTTCTCTTCTCGCTTCAGGAGCAGTTCTATAATAGGAATGACAAAGGCCAGCGTCTTTCCACTCCCAGTCACCTGCAGTGAAATAACACTCAGTGAGCCTGGAAAGCCTTACAGTGAGTCAGATAACTACTCCAGCAGACCTTAGAGGGCTGTACTGGATTTCAGTTTACACAGGACAGTAGTTAAGGAGACTTGGAACCCCTGTCTTTTTAATTAAGTTGAAAGAGTAATACACGTAACAGATCTATTTATGTATTTATTAGTTTGGAAACACAACTACAGAAGGAAAGTTTCATTTGTTTCCATATATCACCTTCATTAATAGGCATTTTTTAAAAGAAACTCAACTGTTTGCTTGTTTAAATGTGTCTACTAAACCAACAGTCTCTGTGACATATGCTTATCTTTTTGCATGACTGCAAATCTGTGTATGAATTCACAATTATTGAACTGACTTCCCCACTGAAGGTTGCTCCATAGCTCTTATATTTCCCAGTGCTGTTTTCATACAATGCTGCTGTATTGCATATGAGATCATTGGATGTTTAACGTGATAAGTATGTTCTACATTTTTCACTTTGATTGTGGTAAATGCAGATTCTGTGTGGTTCTTGTAGACCATCCAGATAAAAATCCATCCATCCATTATCTATACACAGCTTAATCCTCTCTAGGGTAACGGGGGGCTGGAGTCTATCCCAGTCGACTCAGGGCGAAAGGGACACCCTGGACAGGTCACCAGTCGATCACAGGGCTACACTTAGAGACAGACAACCAAGCACACTCACATTCACACCTATGGACAATCTAGAATCACCAGTTAACCTCAACATGTTTTTTCCCAGGGCACTCTGAGCCAACTGGATACACTGGAGGTCTGACACACGTGCTACATCTTGTCCTTACTCAGTTACCGTAATTAAACCAGTTAACTAGTAGCCCTGGTTAACTGGTGAAGCACTTACCGCCTCGGCAGCCACATCTTTGTTGCTCATGAACAGCGGAATGCAGGCGGACTACAGAGAGAGAACAGCATGATATCAGATGGAGTGTTTACAGCAGAGAGGACAGACGCTGCTGGGAAGTTGCGGCTCACCTGTACAGGTGTCATGTGCGTAAACTTGAGCTCATCGAGCGTTTCTAGAATCTTATCGTTGAGTTTAACCGGTAAACTTTCCCACGTCCCGTCTGTCGTGTCGGCCATCCTGCAGAGAGAACATGAGCCGGCCAAAGGTGCTAGCAGGTTGTTAGCTACTCAACTGCACGCTGCTTCTGTTTTCCTGTGCGCTGATGTTTACAGTCCGGCAGGGAACTGAAGCCGTACTGTATGGTTCCGCATAATAGATTGTAGCTTTTATTTAACGTCCTTTTCTTTTTGTACAATGCAGCTGAGTGTATCTTTTTTTTTTTTTTTTTAAATGCTGTGTCTTTATATAAAGAGCTACATATTAAATTGTGATTTGGCATAAATATAATTTTATGAAGCATGATACTAAAATACATAAATAAACACAAAATTCTAAATACATTTTACAGTAAATTTTCTGGAAAAAAGAGAAAAGAAATGTATGTTGGCATTACTGGCATAAAAATCAAAATAACTGTTATTTTACACACTTTTTACAACAATTTTCCTGTCAAATGATAGTAAAATACTGGTGGTTGTGGTTGCCATTATTTGACTATATTTCTCCAGTGTTACAAATGTAATTTACTTAAACAGGTAATGCCTGTAGATGACTACAGCAAAAAAAAAAATCTGTGTTTTAATAAATAGTAATTTGTTTGTTTGCAATGTTTGGCTGTAAAAATGACACTGTTTTTCACTCTATTAAAATCAGAAAAATATATGATTGTTTTACAGATTATTACATATACTAATGACTGAAAATGGTAAATATTTTTTTACAGTTATTTTACAGATTTCCCAGTTTTGTTGTTGTTGTTGTTGTTGTTTTTTAAATAGATGTATTAACTGGTAAACTCACTGAAAAACTGTTACTCAACATGCTGAATATAAAAAAAAACAAACAAAAAAAAATCTGTATTTTTGTTTCAAAAAGCAGCAGATTTTATTGTATTTAACCATATTCTGCCACAGTTATGATGTGGCTGTATTTTTACAGTAATGTATTACTGTTTATATAATTTTTAAAAAGCACAAAACTATTGTCCATTTTTTAAGTTGTTTTCTGATTATTTTTTTTGTTAACAGCTTCACAAGCAGCAGTGAGACAACTTGAGTGATATCAGGCTGCAAGGACATAAAAATTATTTTCCCAGTAACTGTCCAGCATCTGCTACAACACACTCCTGACTGCATCTTCTGTTAGTGAATATGAAAGTTCAGGTGAAGGCTGAATGACTGCTAATTCTTCCTCTACATATCTGTATTTTGCAGATTCAGAGATTGTCTTTGACTCTGGAACTGTTGAAATCTAATAGGTCTGTCAGCTGATGACAGACATCATTTGTGGGCTTCTTTGTGAATTCATCACAGGCAGAGATGTTTCCGAGATGTTTGCAGACAGACATTGCACATGCCTGGCAGAAAAAAACTCCTGCAGCAAACCCTCAACATGATCCTTGACAGTTTGCATGCTGTTATCACTTTCCTGATGATATCGCTGCTCAGTTGTATCAATGGCTGTGGTCCTGCTGATCGTAGCACAAGCCCCAAGTGAGGACTTGAAAGAGCCCCATACTGCTCCAGGTGGAGTGAAGCCTGAATAGCAGCAGCAGTGAGGTCCTTTATTTAGGTGTTTATGAGATGATAATCGCAGACTAACTGACTAAATCAGCACCATCTCTGGTGAATCCCAGGGGCAGCATCTAGAGAAGATGAGCCAATAAAGGCCTTCCAAGTTGATCTCAGGTTACACCTGGAAGCATCCACATAGTCAAAAGTCTGCAGAGTTTCATGATTGTTTGAACAATGCCAGCTGCTACAGCTCAAGCCTGCAGAGTGGCCTCGAATGGATGCACAGTTCTTCCAGAATCTGAAGCTGAGTTACTGCCTGCCAAGCTCAGAGATGCTCTGCTTCACAGACTTACTTTGCAAGGATGGAACTCACAGCCTTGGTGGCTGCAGCATCAAAGATGTCTGATATGAACTTCTGTGTGAATCTGTTTTTAGAAGATACCTGTTTCCTGTGTGGTT